CTTTGCCGCCGAAGATCGCATACATACGCTCATAACAAGGACATTTTTTCTCGAGGAGTTCCGCCAGCGTCGGGAGATCTTCGCCTTCTTCGATACCAGCCCCGGTTTGCTCTGCCCAATCCTTCGCCTTCATGAAGCGCTTTTTGTAGCCATCTATGCGTTGACGAAGTTGGCTACCGGTAAGGCAAAGCCGATGGTTTGAATTGTCATTGATGAAGATTGCAAACATGTCGTAAGCTGCCGCCTTGGTCACCTTAGTTGTCCCCACTGTTGTCTTCGACCCATCCCCGTACAAGCGTGTGTAGTTTGACTCCTCCTCGAGGTAACCACATACGTTTTCGTAGTCATCCGAGTTGAACAAGGGGTTGGCATCTGGAACTGAAGTTTGGGAAGCGGCTGGGGCCGAGCCAGGTTCGGAAATTCTGGACGCAGATTGAACTGTTGCCCCTTGGGCAGTTGATCGAGTAGAGCGAGCGGATTTGCCCCCACGGGCGTGACCTTTGAGTCGCTTGTCCTTAGCCTTTTGCTGAGCCTGTACCTTCTTGATTTGGGCCTGTTCGGCACGATAGATGGCCATCTCCTTCTGCGTACGACGAGATCGTCTCTTCTTCTTTCCAATTGGTTCAACGGCCGTTCCACTTGGTTGAGCTGACATGGCAAGATCCTGGGGTTGTTGAATTGAGAAGCCAGAAACATCGGACGCAAGGTTGAGCCCTGAGACATCAGGACCACTCGTGAGCGTCCCAGATGGGGAAACTGGCAAGCGCGCACTCATCGGGGTAAGATTCATCAAACTCGGATCTAACTGTCAAACATACATCAAATCGTAGGTGGTGTGGAACATTGATCAAATGTCAGTCTCTGATTGTGAAAGCGCAACCAAAAATTGCAGATTACTTACCTGACTAACAGACATGATTTGTTTGATCGTGCAGGGATGATGAAGAAGATGATGCAGGGAAGATGATGAAGATGATGCAGGGATGATGGTGGCGTGTGTGTGAAATTTATCCAAGGAGGTATGTGATACAGAAAAATTACCGTGAGGTGTGATGGTGTGTTTTGAGCCAGAGGAGGGTTTATGTTGGGCAGATGATTATGCAGCGGGTGACTACACTTCATGAGGTGATGCATACCAACAAGATTTTATGAATGATGGTTGTTGTTTGCGCACATGATTTTAGCTTAAAATTTAACAAAAATTGCACACCAGCAATAATTATTTTTAGGGGGGACCAGAAGCCATAAAAGCTATCGTGAACCCCCCTATTTGATGCTGCGGTGACTATACCGTTGCATTTACTGGCGGTACACTGCATCTGTGATTTAACAGACAGAAAAGATTACTGCAAGCATGCTTTCACCGGATCTAACACAAGTCTTACTCTTAGATAGGCAGTTTGCACCATTTCAGAATTTGCAGCCGGACCCAAGACAGTACAGATGCGAGGGTAAACAAGTACAGATGTGAGGGTAAACAAAGATCAGGAAAGAAAATAGAATCTTTTCAAGTGGTGTCAGCACCAAAAAAAATGACAAAAAGATCATGAGGGGTCACGACTCTTCAAAAAGTTGCTTATTCACACAGGAAACCCCTTTGATCCTCTCATCTGGTGACCAAAAATTGGCTGACATAGACCAAAGCATATTTAGTGGTGTTATCTTTTCATCATGAAAAAAAAACACAGAAGATTTTTTACATACCCTGTGATGCTTATGTGAATGTGGGAGGAGTCTTTGTATGTAATGTTGTTGGCGTGAGGTGATTTGCTCATTTAAAACAAGTTCCAGCCTTCATGTATGATTCATGAACTGTGGAGCAATCAGAGTTGAATTTTAAATTCAAGAGTTTTCATTCCATAAGTGATCTTGCAAAATAAAACACAAGAAATCACAGATTTGTCACATCCAAGGTTAATATAAGGTGACCAAGTTATGATTGTTTTGTAGTACCCTTCAACAGGAAAACCTGAATTCCCTCATGCTGAAGCTGCACACTTGGGTGTCATGATGAATTCTGTCAAAGGGGCTGTACTTGGTAGAAAGGTTTGAAGCCAATTGGTCAAACTTTCATTCAAGCTTGTCTTTTTCTTTCAGTTGTTCAATACCAAGTGAGTGCCTTATATTGAGTCTTTCATGTAGGAATTAGCCAAGATAAAAAAGATCAAAAGAAAGCATGTGCTATTTTATTCTGGATCAATCCAAATGGCAAATACCAACCCAAAGTCATATAATTTTGATTTTCTATGATTTCTCACCTACAGTCATACAAACTAATAAATTCAATACCACCAACCTTTTTTTTATCTTGCTCATTACAGGTCCAACCTCACCTTTCCCTACATAACGGTAACAAGAAACCGTGTCAACTAGGGTATATGGATGATAAAAACCTAGCAGAATTTATTTTTGCTCAAAGACAGCCAACATCATGCATAATTTATAGATAAAAAAAGGACAACAAATATCTTAGAGAAAGCTGATGTACATAAATAGAGGAGTACAAAATTCAAATAGATCATAAATAAAATAAATCATGATCTGCTAAGTGTCTTCTTGAATGAAAATATCTGTACATAAATTTCCAAAAAAGTGCGAGTTCCAACCTTTATTAGTCGTACATTGATATGTTTATATGGATGTTAAAAAAGTAAGCTCATAGAAAATGCTAAAAAAATGCTGCTAAAGTGTCTACCTAAGAAGTTCCCACTGGAGAATAAATAAATAAATTTTAATCAATCGATTGGATAGCTAGTGGTCACTTTTAACAGAGCCAGAAGGATTTGATTGTGAAGTGCTCTGAGTGATCCCATAGGCTGCATCGATCAACCTTCGTTCAAGCAAGTCTTTCTCTCCAACATACTGTCCTTCAGCCTCATTTTCATTGAGTCTTCCTTCGCTCGGAGAATAATTATTACTTAACTCGAGTGGTTTGAAATGATCTTCTGGTGTTTTCATCGGCGGGAGACCATAGCCTGCTTCTTCACGCCTGCGATGTAGCAAATCATGATGATCGTCTAGAACGTTTCCTTCTTTCCTACCGGACAGAATGGCTGTAGGAGTTGCGGGTAGAATGGGAGGTGTGACGATTGCAGCTGCCGATGCCACATTGAAATCGACCAAGGCTTTCGGAGTTGCTATTCTTTCTATCCTAGCCGGAGATTTTGCAGAGGTTGGAGTCACAAGGTTGATTTCAGTAGATGATTTGGGATTTGCCCCTGAGATATGCGCAAAGCTGGGAGTAGTGGGCGCTGTGTTGGTGAGCTAGAAAGTCCACTCCCAAGACCGCTGGAAGACCTAGTTGGCCTGTTGTTCAACAAACGGGGCGAGGGAGAGGCCGACCGTGAACTGGATTCAGCACGTGCCCTGAGTCGTGGTGTAAACGTTAACGCCTCATCATCGTTTGAGTCGAATGAAGGCTTCAGATGGGGCTTGGGGACTGGCGCCGCAATACTTGTTGAGGGCACTTGGAGTGACGTGGGCTTCGCTTGCATCCTAGCATCATGTTTCTGAAATGCAGACAACATGAAATCTGCAGTTAAATCAAAGGCTGTGCTAACTTCAGGTAGCAGAGATAGCATCTGGGCGAATCCATGACTCCAACCTTCAAAAATTCTATCATGGACGGAAAAATCATTGTAAGATTAGTAAACATGAAATAAATCAGACGCTCATCAATCATACGTACCGCATTTGTACCCAATCTGACTCTTCCTCGTCCAAGATCGGGTCTAGTTTCATTGGGGGAGTACAATCGGGATCGACATTCCCTCTATGAAGCTTTACCAAAGCCTCCCTTTTGCGTTGTTGCTTGGCTTCTCTAATTTTTCCAGCTATGATTACGGTGTCATCCACAAAAGGGTCTTTTTCACCGCACACCAGATAAACTGGAGGGAATCTAGCTAAAATGGAGGAAGGTGTGAAGATGGGTGAAATATGGTGATCTTTCGTAAGATCAGGTGCGTTACGAGGTCCAACATAGCAAATCGCCATACATCGCATCTATAGATACATCATAGTATTGTTTTGGTATCAGCGAACCTGCTTCATACTTTCATCAAGAAAAAGGAGGTGCTATTACCATTGAGGGGCTGATGATTCTATCGTTGAAGAAGCCAGTTCTGCTGGTCATTGTCAAATGAGTTCCAAACGCCTTTCTTTGAGCCCGAGTCTGTGGAAGTGGCAAGGCCGCTTCGTTCCTATCGGTGAGTTCGAGCGTTTGTTGCTCAGCATCTACTGAGGCTTCGAATTTCGAAAACTCTTCCTCGTGGAAAAGTACCCTCTCTCCCAACGACTTTTCATTGTCCCCGCTCGGAGAACTGTAATTTAATTCTTCGCCCAGCGCCGTACTACCGCTCGGATTTCCATCGAAAGCATCCGAGGCCTCGGCAGCGGTCAATTTCAATTCAACATCTGAAAGGCTTCGCTCGACCTTGGGTGTCAAGGCTCGCTTCCAAGTGGCTACCATACTGGGCAAGTTGGCGATACTTTTTCGGAACTTCTTTTTCATACCTCGGCTAGTCAGTTCGCCGTCATGATGAACTCGGTCGTCGACGACACTCAAAGGGCTCTTGTGATTTAGATGGCTCTTGGCTTCTAGAATGCCTTCGGGTAAGTTAGATGATGAGTTGCCTCTTCTGAGAATTCTTAGGTTCTCCGGTGACATCCAGGACGTGAAATTAAAATCCAATGCAGCATATAGCCAAAGAATACCCACTGGTAGAGGAAGTGAGTGGAAAGGCGAATCGGGACTTGATTCAAGGATTGATATAATCATCGCAGCTGACAAATTGGCGCCCCTGTATTCAGATACTCGATGAGGAATTAAGTCTTGGTGGGAAGTTTGGAAAAGAAGAAGTGGGATACATCGTTGATTAAACTATTACTTACGCTGAATCCCCCGTAAGTACAATGTCCACCATATCTCTGCCCATGCCGATGACCCTGCCCTTCGATTCCTGGATTATACGATAAACATCCATGCATTCATGAATAGCATAAGGAAATGGATATTCTGGCGCTTTGCAATAGTCAATCGACAGGATGGGGATACCAGTCTTGATCGTCCATTGAATGATCCTTTCTTCATGATGGAAAGGGCTATAGACAAGGGGGAGGGAGTAAAAACATAAGCTTTCACACAAAGTAAAAGCTGGCTCAAGATGCGCACCTCATCGCAATGAACCCGCCGCCAGGGACATCTAGAATCAAGTTTTTAGTCCGAACAAGTTCGAGATCAGGGCGAGAGGAGTACAGCCAGCAAGTGATCGGTTTTGTATACTTGGAACCAGAAGGTCTGGGGAAGATGAATTTGCGTTTGATCGGTATCGAGGGGCGATGTGAACGTGTGAAGAACTCAATGATTGGGTTGGTGGTCTTCTCCCAAGTGATTCTTAAAACTTCGACCTGAACCCCCCCAAAAAAATCGTTATTATTAAGCAATGTAGGCATAAAAGCAGTCATGAAATTCAAATCATGATGACGCAATTATGGGTATTTGAGGACCATTTGAATGAGGAATTCCATGCTGTGGGAACATTTGGAAGGATGATTTCAATGAAGCTTCCATGGAAAAAACCACTCACCGTGGGTACCGCACGGTACCTCCGCAGCTTTTCATCAGCTTCGTTGGCGTATATCAGATAATAGCCACTAAAGAGAACACTGAGAAGATCTCGAAGCCATTTCACTGGGATAGGAGCAGCAGTCGCGAAACCAGCGTCAAGAGCGGTATTAATCCAGGTTGCACGATAGAAACCCCGAGAATAGAGTCTTGCCAGAGGCTCTGGAGCTAACCTCAGATTGATTGTATCATGGGTCGTCCAAGCATGAGTTCATCAAATCGCTCGAGCCAGCAGAAAGATAGTTTCACTCACCAGCAAGGCCGACCAGCGTATCCCAATGACGTATACCATA